GAGGGAGGTCTGGGCCTCTTTGCTTAGGCTGCTGCCCCCGCGACCCGGCCCCGGACAAAGCGGATGGATGGATGGATGGATGGACTAACAAATCTGAGATGCACTGACAAGTTTGACATTAAAACAACAGAAGATATGCTTAGGTTAGGTTTCAGCCTTTCATTGGCTGCTTATTGAAATAATTTGTCAGACTAGATTTGATATGTTAGAAGAGCAGCTGGAAACTGCTAATAAACTGTAGAGCAACACTTTATTTCTGGGTCTCACGCGCCATCACAGCTTCTGAGACATGATGGAGTATATCACAGGACCAGGCTAGCTGTTTCCATTCAATTTTAGTCGTTATGTTGCAGCTTCAGATTTTCTAAGCTGAACATCTGAATCAAAGAGATTCGTTTGGCTGATTGGCTGCGGTGGAATGTGGGTGGGGTCTTACCTCCAGGATGATGGCAAAGAGGACAAAACCACCAATGCTGCTCATCAGGCTGCTGTAATAGGAGAAGAGGGCCCCAAGGCAGCCCCGGGTCCAGATGTTGAGCTCCTCGGTGCGGTGGTCATAGTCGTAATGGGCAGAGTTGTTGGTCAGGTGGTGCTGGATGCAGGGCCGGGGGGACCCGGGGTTACAGCAGCTGAATGGGACGCTGTCCATCAGATACTTCCCCTCCACGTTACTGAGGACTCGACTGCAGGCCAAACACAGGTCAGAGGTCAAACATAGCCAGCCTGGGGACTGAGGAGAGATTAGCGACGACCCCCCCCATTGCTCTGGAAATGGGTTAGTTAAATCTATGCTGAAATGGATGAATGGTTGCCGCACAGGTAAGCGTAAGCTAAGCTAATAGGAACTATACGTTCCTACAGAGACTAAACCAAAGATCAATAAAATACTGCAAGAAGTCGACCAATTTTCCTGAGTTCCTGAACTTTCAGAGAGGGCCACCCTATGAGCGAGAACCATGTGGGGGTGAAACGCTCACTGGCCACTGTGGAGGAAGGCCTCCATAACAGTTAATGTTTGCATGACCAGAACATCAGAGCCATGACTGCGAGGACCGTCAGCACACAGCTGCACTCTGCTTTAATAAGATTATTCACTGTGATGGAAACTGTTGAGGACCAGGCACTGACTGCTGCAGAGGAAATGTCTCTTATGGCAGCCTTCAGCTCAATTTAAGTGGAAGTAAAGCCACGCAAATGTTTCATGACGACAGTGAAACTCACTACAGTCTGCACCTCTGGATGATTTATCTGCTCTCCAAATCTGAAAACTGGTTTGCCCTTTTGGAGGAAGGTCATTAAGAAGGAAAACTCTCCCTTTTCCTGTCAGGTTTACACTTGTTAGATTATCTTGGAGGGTGATGTCAAATTTAACCAATATGTTAAAAATATTGGTAAATTTGTCTATGGATGGTACTACCAGATGTTTATCTGATAAAAATCATCATTAAACATTGCAGTTTCAGACTCAAAGTGAGAAAAGTAGAGTACAGAATAGTACATTAGATGTTTTAGTCAATCGGAAACCTTCGTATGGCAAGAGCATACAATATAATTTATATCCCACAATTCAACTCAGCAGAGACCCTGATGGAGAATAAGACGGCTTCGTTCAAACATGAAGAACAGCAACATGTTCTCACTTTGTCAGATGCAGTATGTTATTTAACTTGGTACCAGCTGTGGGTAGGGCTTTAAGTTGGATAATTAGAGAGAGAAAATAATCTCTTTTAAACACATTAGAACAGAAAACAAAATAGTCACAGGTTTGCCACCATTTCAGAGCTGCAGCCAATCAGACGTGTTCATTTCTGATCAGATGTTTCTTTAATGTCTGCTTTGCTGTGTTTAAGGATCAAGTGACAGATTAGAGTCTCAGAGGAGACGCCCCGCACGAAGCTCCTAAACGTTGACTTTCCCCTCCTTAAGACCTCTCTGAACCTCTGCTGAGCCCGATGTTTAATTCATCTGAGAAACTAATGAACAAAACCTGAGAAATTTAATTTAGAAATATCTGAGGTGCTCAGTTCAACGAGGAGCTGCTGACACTTTTCCTGAGGCTGCTGCTTTGTTAAAAATTGATGAGTTTGATTAAAATATAGAGGAATATTCAGATGGACAATTTCTATAGAATAATTATGGATTCATAGAATCAGGTGCCAGCTCTGTGTGTAAATTATTAAACAGCAGATTATCCAACAACATCGATAACTTTTCAATAACGGCTCCACGTGACCGGCCACCCCGCTCACATACTCACTCTTTGACCACATCGTTGCTCATATCCAGGTAGCGGTTGCTGATCCACTGAACCTCAAACCAATCCCTGAAATTGTTGTTCCCGCAGCAGTGGAACTCGATCTGCGTCAAGTCCAGTGTCCTCTTCATGAAGCAGCGCCCTGGCGTGTCCGTGTCCTTGTAAAACCGGATGGCGTAACTCAGGCCCTCGGCCAGTGTCAGGTATACGGAGAACTGCATAAGGAAGCAGAGCAGCGACACGAGTACCAGCAACACGTTGAAGCCGCAGCACAGCAGCAAATATGTCTTCAACATCGGCTTCCAATTGGAGAACTTGATGGGATCCAGAGAGTCATGGCACACCTTCCCTCCGAAGGCATTAAGGCCGCAAGCCAGCAATCCCGCCAGGATCAGCAGGTTGGGCACCAGGTGGCTCTCGTTGTTGTCCATCATCTCACTTCTCTTCCGCAGCTCAATCTTGAAGAAGATGCCGAGGCTGAAGATGAGGATCCCTGCGATGACTGAAAACCAGTAGAGCATCCATAGACCCTGAGCCAGCTTGACCCGCTTCTGCAGGTTGAACTTCACCGGCATGAAAGGCATTTTAGCAACTCTGAGAATTCAAACAGACACTGAGGGTCAGGATTCAATAAGAAGCAGCTGCAGTTCAGACTCAGATTCAGAGCTTTACTCATGAAAAAACAACATCTGCTGGTTTCAGGCCCATAACGCTGAGCTGCAAGGGGGGACAGTCCATGTTACTGAGCAGAGGAGTCCACCATCAAACACTGCAATATTCACACAGACCAAGTGAGTATTTCCTGCAGGCTGGATGGAGGTGTGAATGCGAGCGTGCGGCAGCTCGTCATCCTAAAGCCTCCTGAGCTCATTATCAGCAGATCAGCTGCTGCCTCTAATCCCTCCTCTAACTCCTAATTGGTTTGATGTTAAGCAGCTGCTTCCATCTCACTGTCACATGCTTCACTGAGCAGAGTTCACCTGCCTCACCTCAGGGCAGGGTAGTCTCAGTAAGCAGTCCAACAAACGTCCTGTGAGCAGGAGCCTGAACTCTGTTTCGTGAGAAAACTTGGTTCTCCGTGGTAAAAGATTCTGTGCACATGCACTGAGCAGGTTACATTTGAGAGAACCCAGGGGAGCTCACTGTGCAGGTACAGAGAGAGTTAGGCCATCTCACGGTCCTGGTGTTTTGTAGAGATCCCAAAGCAGAGACCGAATACAACAGAGCACTTCCCAATCAGAAGTCAGGCAGTGATTTTACTAGTTTTTAAACTATCAAGGCTTACCAGTCAGACTGTTTATCTAGACTCCACTCCTTCGTGTGATGTCCACGATGCTCTCATACCTGCAGAAGTGAATGCTGAAGGCTGAGGATGCATTTGCAAAGTATTGTAAAGAGAAACCATCAAACACAGCACAGCTGCCTCTCTGAGTGACCGCTACAATGATCGCTTTGAACGCTGCACAATTCCCTGATGATGATAGTAAACTCAAATTGCTTCATGACTGGAGATACTGGAGATTTCATGAGTATGCCTGTGTTATAACTGCATTACACATCCCTCAGTATTTGTGTGGTGGGTACATTATTATTTTGTTTAGCGTGAAAAATTAAAAAGATGTGGTAACAGTTACAGTCCAGTCATTGTGATCGAGCACACAGGGTAAAATATGTCATAACCTACCAACAGGATCCAGGGAGTGTGGAGTCAGCTGGTGTAATGCTGGTGCATGTATCATATACAGAGATTCCTTATACACAGCTGCTCGACAGGTTTGGGGCTAATCTCATTTGTTGTGTGGTTCACAAAATACAGCTTCTTAACATATGCAATGGTATCTCCAGAAGTTGATTCTGTTCATCTGGACGTAGCGTTTTGTGGGAGAAACGTTTCGTCACTCACCTAGGTGACTTCTTTAGTCTCAGCTGACTGCAGGTTTCCCCAAATCTTATACCCCAAACCCTAACCCTACCCCCAAATCTAATTATGCAAATTCTGGTCATGAGAATTTGCATAATTATGATTAAGGAACTGACCTCCCAGCCCATTGTTCCTTCAGTGGGCTGGCTTCAGTCATGCAAATTTACTGTTTATAAGATTGGGGAAACCTGCAGTCAACTTTTGGAGATAACATAACAGCAAGAAAAATAAAAGATAACAGAACATAATACACCCACTTAGAGCCATTTACAAGTGTGAATGAAGAAAAACTTTTAGTAGTAATACAAAAACAGAAAAGAAAAATAGCAAATCTGTCAGCGACCTACAATTTTGTAACCAAAAAAATAAAAATAAAAGAAATCAAAAAGTTCTCCCAGAATTACTTGGCAGACTAACCACCATACTAAATCTCTTGATGCACTCTCAATCATCCAGGGAAGGAAATCCCAAAAGTTGATTCTGTTCATCTGGACGTTTGGAGAAACGTTTCATCATCATCAGGTGACTGCAGGTTTCCAACCTTATAAACAGGACATTTGCATAATGACGAAAACTAGCACCACTGACTAACAATGGCCTGTGAGGTCAGTTTATCAAGATTAATATGACAACTGTGATGACCATTGATCAACAACCACTGATCAATCACCAATGATCCTATAACTCTGAAAGTTTTTGGCTTCGATCCTCATCCCGTTGGTAGGCAGCTCTGACCACATCCAGAACACCTTGGATGGAGAAGGTGAGAGATGTCGTTATGGAGGCAGATGAAACCATGGTTTCGTACGATGTTACATCTCTCTTCACTTGCGTTCCAGTCATGGAAGCATTAGAGGTGGCTTGGCACTTTTGTGGATAAAATCATATCTCTCAGGAACTTTTGTCTTACGTTGGGTTTGGCCTCATCCTCTCTGGTCCCTCTGCCATGGGGGGTACCGCAGGGATATATTTTTGGGCCATTATTGTTTTCATTGTATCTCCTGCACTGGGTGCGATCTTCAGAAACACAATTTCATTTCATCTATATGCTGATGATTGCCAGCTTTCAGTCACTCTCATAGCTCTTCACATGCTTGATCGTCTTAGTGATGTTAAATCAGGGATCACTCAAAATCTTTTAAATTTTAATGAACATAAAACAGAAGCAATTTTATTTGGTCCCAGTCGTTCCTCTGGTACCCCAGATGTTGACTTTGCTGCTCTGACCCTCACCTGAAGAGCTCAGTTACTAATCTTGGGATAAAAATCAACTCTGCACTTAGTTTTGATGGCCACGTAAACGGGGTGGTGAAATCTTCATCCTATCACCTCAGCCGTCTGTCAAAGGTCAAGCCTTCTTTCTCAAATGCTCTCAGTCTTGAAAGCACAGCTGAAACTTAGAGACAGAGTGTTCTCTATTGTGGCGCCGAAACTTTGGATGATCTTCGTCTTCACATCAGGCAGTCTACATCAGTGCTGGTTTTTAAATCCACATTAAAAACTTATTTTCACTCGGTGGGTTACTGATAATGTTATTTTATTGTTATCATTATTGTTATTTATTCATCATATTTATTATTCTTACTGTACCTCTTATATTTCTGTTGTACAGCACTTTAAAAACAGCACATGGCTGACCAAAGAGCTTTATAAATAAACTATGGTATGGTAGTGGAAAAGAGGGCTTTGCTATCCTACCCTGGAACACCACCAAGCCATTGGTTCAGATATGTAGATGACACCTGGGTGAAAATCAAATCTCAGGATGTACCACATTTCACAGATCACATTAACTCAGTGGACTGACACATCAAATTCACCAGGGAGGATATGAAAAGTGGCAGGTTAGCCTTCTTAGACTGTGAGATTTCCATCAGTAATGGGGGACATCTAAAAGCTGACGTGTACCGTAAACCTACACATACGGATCAGTATCTAAGGTTTGACTCTCATCATCCACTAGTGCCAAGTTTGGCCCTTCTGGTACAGAGCGCGAGTGTTGTGTGATCTGTTCAGTTTAGTGTTAAGGTGATGGATAAGATGTTGCACAAATGGAAGAACGCAGTCTTACATATTTGTTTAATATGTGCGTTGAAGGACATGTCCTGGTCAAAAATGACTCCAAGGTTCCTC